CCGACCGGCTGCCGCAGCCCGTGGCCATGCGGCTGCAGCCCTCCGACAAGCCCCCGGCCACGCTGGCGCTGCAGCTGCAGCCCTCCGACAAGCCCCCGGCCACGCTGGCCCTGCGGCTGCAGCCACCCAACAAGCCCACCACCACCTTCGCCGTGCGGCTGCAGCCCTCCAGCAAGCCCCCTTCCACGCTGGCGCTGCGGCTGCAGCCCTCCAGCAAGCCCCCCACCACCCTGGCGCTGCGGCTGCAGTCCTCCAACAAGCCCCCCACCACCATCGCCCTGAGGCTGCAGCCATCGGACAAGCCCCAGGCAGCCCTGGCACTGCGGCTGCCGTCCGAGAAGCTGCCCGCCATTGTGGCGCTGAGGCCACCGCCCTCGGACAAGCTGGCCGTCGCCGACACCAGCCAGTGGTCTCAGTCCTCGGACATGTCGCCAGCCAAGGCGCCACTGCAGCCCCTAGACGAGCCGCCAGCCGGGGCCCCACCACCCCCGCCGTGCGTGCCGCACGAGGGAGCCCTGCAGCCCGCACCCACGGACAGGCCTTCCAGCACCACCGCTGCAGCCCCGCGGCCGCAGCCCCCAGACGAGCTTAGCGCCCTGGCCCAGCTGTCGGACAAGCCTCTCGCTGCTGCTGGTGCCCCGCCGCCACCACCGCTCGCAGGTGAGACCCCTCCTGCACCCGGGGCCCCGCAGCCTCCACTGGCCGACGAGCCTGCCCCCAGGGGACCCTGGGCCCCGGCCCCCGAAAAGCCTCCCAATACCGGGGCCCCGCGGCCCCTGCAGCTGGACAAGCCGCCCGCCCCGTGGCCCCCTGCCTCAGACAAGCCCGCCCCAGCATCCACCGGGGCCCTGCGGATTCAGGCACTAGACAAGCCGGCCGCCCCCCTGGCTCCGAGGCCTCAGGTCCCAGACAAGGCGCCGGCAGCCACGGTGCCACGGCCACTGCTGTCCGAGAAGGCGCTGCGGCCCGTCGACCAGAATGCGCAGCCGCAGGAGAGGGGCGCGGAGCCGAGCGCCCAGCAGAAAGACAGAACTATCGCGCCAGCCGAGCCGCCGCCGTGGCCGCCGGGGAGAGCGGTGGCGCACGCGGGGCAGGTGCTGTGGCCCCCAGAGAAGCTGCAGATGCACGAGCTGCCCCGCTGGCCCCCCGCGAAAGCACTGACCCCCGCGGAGCCGCCCCCGCGGGCAGCAGAGAAGCTGCAGGAGCCGCCACCGCTGGGCTGGGACGTGGCGCCAGCGCCCCCAGAGCCGGCGCCGTGGACAGCAGAGCGGTTGCGGGCTCTGGAGCCAGCCCCACCCGAGCAGGCGCCGTGGCTGGCCCGGTCCGTGCAGACGTTCGAGCCCATCTGGCTCTCCGGGAAAGCACAGACTCCCCGGGGGCAGGACCCTTTGCCGCTGCCCGAGCAGCACGCCTGCCGCGATCGGCCGGAGCCCAGCCCGGAGTGAGAGGGTGGGGGGCCAGCGCCGTCTGCTTGGGGCGGGGGACGGGGTTTCTTGGCTCTTTCTGTTTTTTATTCACTGCCCTGCGCCCAGCCCCTGGCCTGCACCCTCTCCCATGACACAAGCCAGGACGTTGGCCCAGCCCCAGTGCACCCGGCCTGGCCGGGGGGAGAGACCGCCCTGGACCTTGTCCTCTTCCTTCCACACCAGTAAAGCTGAAATAAAGAGTCCGCTCTGGATAAAGCCTCTAGGTCACGTTACTGGTCGGGGTCTCCAGGGGCCAGGGCTCCCCCACCCCACCCCACCCCAGGGCCCCCAGCCCAGGGCACAGCCGGCCAGCCCAGGAAGAGCAGGCTCTGTGGAAGGAGGGGCGAGGTGTGCGGTCAGCTGCCCCCGTGGGGGCTCTGCGTTGCAAGGGCACGCGGGGCAGAGTCGCTGGTCACTGTCCCCTCCAAGCTGAGGGTGCAGCGGTTGTGGGGGCTGTGCCGGTCAGGCTGTGGGGACCGTCCACTGGGGTCTTGGTGAAAGCAGGAGGCAGCAGGGCTGGGCAGGGGCAAGTCCCACAGGGGCTGCGGCCTTGCAGCATCTGCCCCGGGGGTCTTGGCCACAGACCAGTGCTCCCCGCCGCCCAAGCATGTGCCCAGGGGCTACATGCACCTGGCCCCGAGCTGAGCTGCATGGGTTGCAGGGCTCTCCATGGACTCCACCCCTGCAGCTGTGTCTGGAGGAAGCCGTGGCTTGCTCTGCACCCCTGCCCCCCCTTCGTGCCGCCTCTGACTTGGTGCGTAGACAACCAAAAATCCCTGCAGGAGGCTTGAACCCCCAGCCCATGTGGGCATGTGCATGTGCCCCCGCCCCGGCATTCCTGGTTCTCGCACTGGAGCCCCTGGGCCCAGCGGCTGTTGGTGCTCCGGCTTTGCCTCCCCTGCCCCCTCCCCAGTGCAGCTGATCTCGGGGCAGGCCGGCGGCGCGTGACGGGATTGCAGCCGGTCCCATCTGTGGCTTGCGCCGCCTGGGCCGGGAAGGGTTGGGGCAGTGCCGTAGGCCAGTGCTCTCTGCCCCCAGCACGTGGGCAGGGAGCCTGGATGGCCACGGCAGGGGACTCAGCACTGTGGCCACCAGCTGTTCCCTGGCCTTCCTGCTGGTGGCACAGGGTCGCAGGGGTCCCGTCCGTGCCGTGAGTGGGTGCTGGGGTGATGCAGGAGCCTGGAAGCTGTGGGGAGAAGAGCAGGAGCCCCAGGGTGTCGCACTCGTGCTCTGAAACAAAAGGCCTTTTAGGAAGTAAGCTGGCGCCAGCACTGCAGCCCCAACCCTCCCCACGCCCGGGACAAGCCCGGTTGGGGTGAGTGGGGTCGTGGCAGCTGCCATGGCCAGGCCCCCGCCCGGCTTCTGCGCTGTCGCGTTTCCTCATTCCTTGTTTCACGCACAAATAAACTGTGAATACTCTGGTGCTGGCAGCGTGAGGTCTGTGGCATGGAGGTATTCTTGGTGCAGTTCGAGGCCGGCTCCACTGAGCATGCAACCCGGGGCCCCGCTGAGCAGGTGCGCAGCACCCGCAGCCTGGTGCCCCTCACCTGGCCGCCTCCCTCTGCACCAGATCCCTCCGCTCCACCCAGCCCAGCCACCGCGTGGGGAGCAGGCTCAGGCCAGGCAGTGTGAGTCGCACCGGGGTCATGGGTCCCAAGCCAAGAGCTCCCTCCCTGGCAGAGCTGGGACGCCACCTGCCCAAGGGGTGCCCAGGAGGGGGGCAGCCAGCTGCCAGGGAGCGAGACAGGAGGTGGCTTGTGCCCAAGCTGCAGCGCGGCGAGGGCAGCTGGGCAGGGATCCGCGGTCAGGGGCTCTCTCAGAGCTGCCCCGGCTGGAAGAGGCGAGGGGGGGTGCTGGCAAGAGCGGCTTTGATTCCCAGCCCCACCCAGAGCCTGAACGGGCGTCAGAGACACCCTTGTGCCCACCCTGCTGGCTGGGCCCCGGGAGCCAGGCTCTGCCCTGAACCAGGCGGTGGGAAGGAGGGCCGTGGGGTGGTCCAGCGCCGGTGTCCACAGCAGAAGGGGTGCTGGGGCCAGCCGACGTGTGCCCTGGGGGAGGCACCTGTGTCAGGGCTGCCCCGGGGTGGGGCGGGGCGGGGCAAGGCGAGGCCGTGCCCTTGGAGCCGGTGGTTCTGCGCTGCGGGATTTGGAGGCAGAGCGCGGTGGCTGGGTCATCGGGTGCTGGCAAGAGCGAGGGACAGGGTGGGCGGGAGCACGTTCTCCTG